CAACATGGATGCAGAATTCTCTAGATGTATTTGCCTCCTCATAATCTTCACTCATTCTCCACCTTGTAACAGGATTCTAGTCTCAGAACCAAGCTACCCGCCTGTATTCTCCACTAAGCAATCCTAGTATCTCCCTAAGTTGTCATCAGTCACTTCTGTCAGCACTGTGGCATCTTAATTGTTATAAACCTTCCCTCCTTAACAACCTGATTCACCATGGTCTCTATGCCTAAATGTGACCAAGTAGATTTACATTGAGCTCTGACAGGACTTTCCATTTGAGATCTTTATTCTACACTTTATCTGCTTGTTGACCGGCCCTCTGGCATGTTTTCCTTCCCTTTGCTTCCAATCTACCTTTCATTTTGATTCCTTCCTGATTTGGGACCCAAGAGCTATCTTAAGTTTCATTTGATGCCTGCCATTTCTTAGTACTGGCTCTTTTACATCTGATGTTAACTTTAATGTTGATCTTCTATACTGTTTTTCCTCCTTTAGCCAGGAAAAAAGCCTTAATTTTCAGCATCCCTCCTGTTCTGTGCGTAGCCACTCACTTTTTCTTCTTTACATTCACTGCCTAACACTTCCATCCTCCTTAATTTCCTGTGTACGATATTGCATCTGCTCTCAGCTCATAGACCTAGGTGGATCATTATGGATAGCCTGTTTCAGATCCATTCCTTTAACCTCATTTCTGCTCTCTTGGTACATCCATTCCTTCAGCTATCTAGGAATCTCTTCAGATCTGTATCTCTTCATTGTGCCATGGTCTTCCCCTCAGTGAACTTCTCCAGCTTTCCACCCTGACATGTGTTTACTATACACTCTGTCTCCAGCCCAACTGCACCTCCCTCTCCCTATTTAGCTTCCAGCATTGATCTTTGTTTCCAATTCTGTATTCTTTTCAAACTTATCTCCTTAGCAGGTGACTCTCATAAAATTTGCTTCATTTTTTTAAACCTCTTTAAGAGGTCTTCAGGTTTTGTTTTCTTTCTTCCTTTTGGGTTTTGCCTTTCCTGTTTAATGAAGCTGTAACTGTGATAGTAAAGTGCTCTGGCCCTGGAAGGGTCCCTTTGACCTCCTCTCTTGTCTTCCAGTGTCTGTCTCGTCTTTGGTTTGACTGGTGCATTACTACCACTGACTTTTAATGTAGCTCTTGGCAGGTTCCCTGCAAGTCCTCATTGCATCAACCAAATCGTTTAATGAAAACTGCCACAAAGGTTTCACTCACACCTTCCTCCTCAATCCGTCCCTATGTGTCACATCCTCAGTACTATTAAGTGCCTTCTCTTTTGTCTTCTATGTATAAGTTAACCAGTCTGATCCAGTCTGTGATCTAGTCTACCATTCATTTTGTCTCTCTTTAATTTATCCCCAGGCTCCTAACCCTGCAGCTTCACATAGCACTCTGTTAAAATTTATACTAAAAGGATCTGTGGCATTGAATTGTAGTGTCAAGAATAGATTAATCACACTAATTTAACTCTTTGTCAGCTTTGGAAACAGAAGTCATGTGTCACTCATTTCTTGTGTATACCGCATTCCCTTATACCTTTACTTAAGTGTCAGTGGGATGGAATGATGGATGGATGGATGGATGGATGGATGGATGTTTAAAGACTGAAAAAGTACTTCTTATTCCCATACTATCATAAGTGTTTACATTTGCATCTCCTTTCTTCTCTTGCTCAAACCCCCAAATAGCTTTCTAATGCTCCAATTTCTAGTATTTTGTGCACAAAAACTCTTTCTGGATCCCTGATTAGATCATAGACACCTTTCCTCCATCCATGTTGGCCAAATTCTCTCCTTCAAACTGGAAAACCCTGTCTTCAGCAAAACTTCACTTTCCAAAATTGTGTCAATTTTTTATTACTCATTCCCTACTTAATTCTGTGAGTCATCTGAAACATACAGTGAATGCTGCTTGCTTTTCCACTCTGAAATAGACTTTACCAATAGTAAAGCCTCCCTTTCATCTACTCACTGCAGGTTGAAAGCTGACTTAGTTTATTCTGGTGTTCTCTGGATCCACAAAGTCCACAGTCTAAAGACAGCACTGAGACCGTGTACTTGGTCAGTGTTAATCTGATGATTTGTGTACTTTGCTGTCAGTAGTTTTTGCTTTATTGTGGTCCTAGAGCATCGAGTGGTTCTTGTTTTTCAAAATATTGGCTCTTTTAACCAACATGACAGAAAGTCCCCCCAAAATATCTCCCCCTCTTTCTTCACATCAACACAAAAACAGTTTGTTCAAGTCATCTCTTCTGTGTGCTCTTCTAATCTACAGTACAGAAACATTTTCAATCATACTTTGTGAAACTGGCTTTTTGACCAGCTTACAAGCTGCTCCAAGAGTTCTCCCACCTTAGAAGAGGGTATGCAAATGTTAACACTTGAAATGTGGAACACAATACTGAGCACAATGATGATGGAAATGTGCTTGTTTTACCCACTCATGTGGATTTGCCTGCTCTTCCCTCCAGTCGCAGGCACCTTTAGCTGTACCATGAAGTTTACAGTCCGGGACTGTGACCCTAACACAGGAGTTCCAGATGAAGATGGATATGATGATGAATATGTGGTGAGGCTTCCCTGCAGACCCTGCACCTCCACAGCATCAGCGACTGCTCTCACAGAGCGTTTTCCTAGAACAGCTGACAGAACTCATGGGACCTAGACTGTCCCTCCCTGTAATGGAATTGTATCATGCCAGAGAGAATTTAAATGGAGTACTTTACCACTAAACCAAAGGAAGTCAGCTTTTTTTCCTCTATTAATGGGAATAAGTGACAATTGCATCATTTTTAATGTGATTGGGTTTATTTATAAAGTAGGTTTCAGGAACTTTTTGATTGGTTAGTTCTAATACTGGTAAGTCATGGACTGAAAGTCATTGCCAGAAAGGAGGGGTGGTGTGTCAAGTTAGAGGGTGTGTGGCCTCCACAAGGGGTCTGATTATGGCAGTGACTACTGTGCACCGCAGGGCCATTGGCACTCAACCTGTACTTACTTGGCTCCTGCCAGGTTGTTCTTGCTCCTCTGTACTGGAACCTGTAGTGAACCTGTAGTTCTAGTACAGAGCTTCCTTTAGGCCTTTGCATGCTTTGTAAACAAAATGCCAAGTGATCAGTTCCTTCTATTTTTGTTGTAGACTCAAAGGACTTTTATTTACTGACTCCTGCTTATTGCCCACTAGCTGGAAGATCTTGAAGTGACTGTGTCTGACCATATTCAGAAGGTACTGAAACCTAACTTTGCTGCTGCCTGGGAAGAGGTGGGAGACACCTTTGAGAAAGAAGAAACCTTTGCCCTTAGCTCTACAAAAACCCTTGAAGGTGAGAATTTTGCTGCCAGTGAGCTGCCTGGGGCCAGCATAAAACCCAGGAGGCATATATGCAGTTCCAAAGGAACTCCTTTCTGTTGAGTATGGTTTAAGTCATCTACTCAAAACCCAGTTACCTGTCTGTATCATCTGACCAAATCAGCCATTTTCTAGAGGAGTAGCCTCTGTACCTGCAGCTCCTAGGACAGACCCTCATGTTCAACTCTTCTAATGCTGTCACATCAACTTTCTCAACAGAGGCTGTGAACAACATCATCTCATTTCTGGGCATGCAGCCATGTGAGAGATCAGACAAAGTACCTGAGAATAAGAATTCCCATTCCCTCTATCTGGCAGGTAAGAGATTCCCATCCGCTTTCTCTTCAAGTGTATAGAATTTAAAAGGAAAGGATGTGGATAGGCACTCCCTGCCCTGTTGTTGTCTGTCATTGCATTATTTAACAATTTGAGACCTAATCAAAATGAATAACTGATTGTACAGGTTCTCCTTAGGTTATTCTTTTAGGAAGCACAATGGCTTAAAATACTTCAATCTCTAACAGATGCCAGCTCCACTCCCTGAGTACACTAAGTTAGTGATACTCAATACCTTCCATGACCTGGTTTTCAAATGAACATTTAAAAATTATAATTATTTGTAGGACTCACTTCCTGTAAATTTCTATAAAGGTGAAACTAAAATAATAGAAAGGAGGGACAGGCAAAACATGATAAATTCCATTAGTCAGGGCTTATTTGAAGTTCTTAATATACTTTCTCTTTTTTCTCTCAGGTGTATACAGAGGTGGCTATGACTTATTGGTACGGTCTAGACTGGCCTTAGCAGATGGAGTGACCATGCAGGTGACTGTGAGGAGCAAAGAGAGAACACCTGTGGATGTTATCTTGGCTTCTGTAGGATAAGTTCTTGCTGGGAAAGGTGATGTTGGCTATGCTCTCCCTACTGGTGGTTTTTAAGCTTATGGCATGAATTTCCCAGAGTCTCGTTTAAAGATTAAGAGACTTTGAAGAAGCAAATCCAATGTTTGGCCCTGAGCCAGCAGATCAAGCAAATGTTTGCCTTTGTGCATGGATTTTAGTGTTTCTTCCCTTCTCATTGTCTCACTTGTTCAGCTTTGGGATGACAATGCAGCTTTGAATGATCTTGAAAACCAGATACTATGTATGCTATTCTACAGCTGCTTGGCTTCATTGTATGCTTTTATTTAATGTGTGAAAACTCTTGGCAATGTTGGAAATTTTATCCCAGAAGGGTGGAGCGGGAGGGGAAGCCGGAATCCATTTTTGTCACAGTTTGTTTTTATTAATAGAAAATAAACACTCATTCATTCCAGTTTCAAAGTTGCTATACTTGAAATTTCTAATTTAAAAAATGAATTTAAAATAATCAATAATGCTGCTTTAACTAAGTTAAAACTGTGGCTTAAAAAAGTTTTCAGCACCATTGCTCTTTCAGCATTTGTTCTTACGTCTCAGTACGGGAGTTGCTGAGTTACATGAGAAAGCCTTGCTGAACAGCCAGTAGGGTGGGTGCTAAGCAGCCATCCTAAGAGGAGTCAGTGGGCATTTGGCTGTTACATGGGCCCCTTGCCTCCACTTCAGACTGGAGGAACATGCACCTAAGTACTGTTGCGAGGAGGAAGGCTGTTATTTTACTGTTCAGCATGGACTTTCTAGCCAGTGACAATAAAGCTCTGGCACAGATACAACTGGTTAATACCTCGTGGTTTTAGGAAATTCTGTAAATAATTTGAATCTTTTTATTCACAAATTATATGTGTGATGAGGTTCTCTACTCTAGGAAGTAAGGGCCAACATCTTAATACCCTTAGAAAATACATACATGAGTATGCTAATAAGTCTCAAAAGCATATTCAGAACATTGTATCGTGATGTCTATTTTGGTTTGGTAAGGTTTTTTTTTTGGGGGGGGGGCAGTTCTGGGGATTGAACCCAAGGGCTTTAGCTTGCTAGGCAGACACACTACCACTGAGCTACATCACCAGCCCCCTAAGCCAATGTGTGTTTCAACAAAATGTCTATAATTAGAAGCAGCTGATGAAACTAAATGTAAGGCATGACAAGATATTCCTTCTCATAAGCTGTGCTGTATAGAGAACTTGAAGGGGAGATAAGCAAGCTCCTCCCTCCCTCTTTACTACAGGACTCCAATTATGGTTGGGCCAGAAGTTAGCATTTCTGAGGATTTCAGCAAAGTCCACACAAGTTAGGGTTTTTTTTTTAAGTATTTTACGAAAAACAATGTCCAATGCTGTCTTTCTACATAATTGAGAAGTGTTATTCATCAGAATTTTCTAATAACACTAAACAGCAGATCCATACACTTGGTTAGATGTCACAGGAATGAGGGGAGGAGTATCTTGTCACCCATAAGAGAATGAGAGATGGATTAGCATGCCATCCTTAGAGTTTCTGCTGCCTGTTTTCTATAGTTTGCTGACCAATGTGAATCAAATGGACTTTTATGAAAGAATAGTATTTGATTGCCAGGACCTCTTTGGGGCATTTCTAAGTGGAATACACACAAATATGAGAATGGGAGAGGTAATTAATACAGGGAAGCTACTCTTTACAGCTCAGAAGGAGTTGATGAAGCCCATATATGCATTCAAGAAGCCCATGGGATCCTCTAGCTGTGGGTAGTGGCTAATGTGGTCATCCAGAATCGACACTGTGGACCGCGGCAGCGTTTTCCTAGTGGAAGAGAACAGCATGGAGGTAAACTTAAGGCTGGAGGATGAGAGGATGTAAGCCATGGGAAGCCCCATAAATGCCCATGTAGACAGACATACCACACTGGAAAGAGCCAACAAAGAGCTTGTTCATCTCCTACTTGGGAACTATACCTTAGCCAGATAAACTTGCCAGTTCCACTTAGACTGGTTTCAATTGTTCAGAACACAACAGACAACATCTTGCAAATACAACACTTCTGTAACAGTCCTCAAAACATGACTTTCAGCTCCTTAGAGAAGCATCAACAGGTGGCTCACTCTGCAGCTCACTGCCCAAGCAAAGATAAACAAAGAACCTTCCTTAATCTCATGAGATTGTTTAAAATTCTAAACAAGCTGTTTATTGCCAGATTGTATCTACTAGGACACATGAAGGTATGGAACACTCTTACATGACAGTCAAGATTTCATATTCCAGCACCTTCTGAATAAGTACCCTGAAGGAGTAACAACCAATAAAAAGCATTTTTCATAGTGAGCTGTTCATAACTGCTCACTGAAGTCTGCTCAGTTGAGGTCAGTGAACTGGCTTTAGAATCAGCTAACACATTCCTTAAGAGATTCCGGTCACATGAAGGTTTTTCCCCCTTTCCTCTATACTTAGCAATAATACAACAACCATGTCAGTGAAAACAGGACGTATGAATCCAGAGAATGTATAATCAAATCTCCTTTGGTGAGAATAAGATTCCCTATACCTAACTGGTCTATTTATTTTATGTTTTCAGTGAGATCAGAGGCAATAGCTAGTGCCAACAGACCTGTTAAGATGAAATATCTAACAAAAACAAAACCTCTGAGGACTCACCTGTACAGCTCCAGAAATTCTGGATAGGGATTTATAGGATCCAATGGCCCATAGATAAAATGAACTAGGAAAGAGAAGAGGAAGGAATTTCTAACAACTCACATCTATGCTTCTGTTACTACCTTAAAATTAACTTCTCTCCATTTATTTAAAAAAAATATGCGAATAAAGTTTTTCTGTAGAAAATGTTCTTATTCGGTGAGCTATAAAGAACTTATAGAACAAGCCAGTCCATCTTCTACATAGAGGCATTTGGTCCCTTCTTGCTCTTGTATACTCTGAATTCCAAAAAGGAATAAGCTCACTTTGAAGATCTTCTTTCTAGAAATGTAGGTGCATATAGAATCATTATCCTTTGTTCCCTCTGTTGTGACTGACCTCTGACATATTGATCACTAGTATGTGAGACACTGCTAATTCCCTTCGCCATACCATATGACCGTCATTAATGACTTTACTAGCTTCCTGTCCCAACAGTTCCTTTTTCACCATGGTAGGCAAGCCATACCAGCTCCACCTATGTAGTAGCTCAGTGCCTTCCGCCCTTACTCTGGCATTCCAGGTGTTTTCAATATGGTTGCCAGTGAATAAAGATTGGGCAGTTAGCTGGGCAGTGCTAGCACACGCCTTTAATCCTGGCACTTTGGAGGCAGAGACAGGTGGCTCTCTGTGAGTGAGGCCAGCCTGGTCACATACTTTAGTAGCTGTTTTTATGTAAGACTCAGATTGACTTGTTTTCATTTGCTAACCCTGGTAGCCCTGCATGGAAATCTTATGAGTGGGAATTACGTAAGTCACTATTCCCCAAGGGTCCCTGTCAAGACGTGACAGAAGATTGCACGCAGATACTCACTAGGGATGGTCACAGAAGCAAGTGCTCCCACCCAGCGTCTTCTGAATTTCTTTCTTTGATTGATATACTGTAAAAGACTAGAGCACAGGAGAGTCAAGAGCAGAGCACGAGCTAGTATCAGTGCAGTGTCCAGAAAAGCATCTGCACACAGAAGCAGCCTCAGGTCCCAGAAAAGCATCTGCACACAGAAGCAGCCTCAGGTCCCAGGAATAGCCCGAACAGTGCTATCAACATAAGCACTTATGTTCCTTGCATTTCTTAAGCAGGAAATGAGATCTTCAGAAGGATTACAGTTGGTTTGGAATGTAACTAATTTAAAACCTGGGTCTAAGAATCCAGTTTTGATCCCAGCTCTGTGACTCTAACAAAACACTTTTTTAAAAACCTAAATTCCTCATTTGAAACTAAGACCAAACTACATAATCTCTGAGTTGATAGCCACCTCTAAAAATGCAAGTGTAGAAGTTTATGGGATCATGGCTTCATTACTATACTTCATCTGACCATGGAGTGGAAGACTCCTCCTGTAGTGGAAGCTGCCAACAGCCTCACTGCAGGCAGCCCTGACTGCTCTCCCTAACTCTGGGGCAGTTAGCAAGGCAAAATATGAGAATAATGTGTTTAAAAGAGAGGTGTACTTGTTTTCAGTTTGATTTATATTTAAAATATATATATATATAAAGGATCTTGTGGGCTAGGATAGGGAGGAAGAAATACCTCTCTCACAGAAAGCCAGCAGTTTAGAGCACTGGAAGTCATAGACCCAGCTCGCAAAAGGCCAGGCCTCATCTTGAGAAACGATGCACATATTGCATCTCCCAGTCTTTCCAAGGAGACGGCTACAGTCTTACTAAACCAAAGCCTTGCTTCTCAAGCCATTGCTACTGCAGGAATAAGCAGAAGAGCTTTGTACTTAAGAGACTTGAGGTTTCCTTCAAAACTGATTAAAACATTCTGAAATACTGAACATTAACCAAAAGTCTAAAGACGGATATGTCAAAGTCATTGAATCATTTTCATGCAAATAAACACTAAGATTTGCAACTATTTATCCACATTCTCTGTGCCAAATGCTTCAGGAGTAACTCACACTGTGCTTAATTTCTTTGTTGGAAAACACAGACTAGGACTGTCTCGGGTTCATCTCATAATTCCTAACCAGCCCCCTTGGGACAAGGAGTATGCCAGCAAGGAGGAGAACATAATCCTGCACCTGCCCCTCTCTCCAAGAGAGCCTCACTGGGGCCTAGAGCAAGGTTCCTGTCTCACCTGTCGATGACCAAGTTCCCGTCATTGTTGCGGATTCCAGCCCACATGTCCCATAGCTCACTCTCAGAGGGTCGAGTGTATGGTCCGAAGACTGGAGTCAGGCTGAAGAGTACAGATGCAGGGTGCTGAGACAGTGGAAGGGATTCAGAGCGCCAGACAGAACTAGGCCCTCAGAAGGCCATACTGTCTGACCCTTTGCCAGTTCAGAAATTCTTCTAGAAAATCTCTAGGCCCAGGCATGCTTTGGCCCAACCCTATAATAGCAGCAAGTTTGACTACACTGTTCTCAGCTCGCTCAGTCTTTGATGATGACTTACCCTCGAGAGAACACGAAGAAGTTCATGAGCCTTGTGAGGATAGGTGAAAGCACGCCTCCATCTTTGAGGAGCTGCAGGTCAGAAGTGAAAGTAAGAATCAGGGATCCAGAGAAAGTTGACAAAATGTTTTACACCAGATAAAATAGAACTTAGCCATGTCTTCTTCTGGGGAAAGAAAATGTATAACCCCTAAATCTAACTGATGAAATCATCAAGTTTAGCCTAGGATCTCAATTTATTTAAACATCATACTTAAGACACAGATCTTCATGTAGTTCTATTTTTCTAAATAGTCATCTCTTATTTCTCAGAAATGTTTGTAGGTTTTATGTAGGAGAGCCTGCTTTATTTGATTGAGGATGAAAAATTAACTTGATTAATGTGAATTGATGATAAAGATCTCAATAGAAGGCTCATCACAAGTATGACCCTTAAGGGTCCCAGGTTTGTTTGTTTGTTTTACTGTCTCAGACATCTGAACTAAGGAGCTATGCAGTGAAACTGCCAACCTTTTGAAGAAGGAGAGGACGGTGAGTCTCAGGAAAGATACCTGTGGAAAGAGAGACATTTACCCATTTACCGAGAACTGCAAGTTAGAAAGACAGCCATTGCCAGAAACTAATTACCCTATTTGTTGTTACATTTGGAGCTTTCACTGCCAAAACAGAATTAGGAATAAAAACAGCTATACACTACGTAACAACTTATACTCAACCTGGAAACTACATACATGTGTTCCAATCTGAAGAATGATTATACTGCTAATTTCTACAAGATTCTCTGTGTAACAGTCAAGTTCCAACACCCTGATATTACTTTCCTCATTTTAAAGGTACAGAAATGGATAAAGTAATTCATAGGCTCTTCCATAATGCATTGATGCCTAGGCCTAAACTCCCCTCAGCATCTCCTCAGCTCAGAATACACACTGGTGTTAATGAACTGGTCTGTAAACACACATGTATGTGTATTTTTCTCTTGAACTGATAAAGGGACAGACTCACTATTCTCCCAAGCCACCCATAAGGCATTCAGATGGGGGCATTTGGGCATTTCTGAATTAATGAGCTCCAAATAATACTCATTAATTCCCAGCCTGACACATTTGTGGTAGTCTTTTTTTGTTTGTTATGTTTGTTTTTGTTTTGGGCACAAGGTCTCTCCATGTAATCCTAGCTGTCATGGAACATGTTACATAGATCAGGCTGGCTGTGAACTCAGAGATCCACCTGCTTTTGCCTTGCAAATGCTGGGATTAAAGGCGTGCACCACCATACCCAGCTCTTTAAAAACAAAATCAAAACAAAACAAAAACCATGGTATTTATTGTGTTCGTGAGTACATCGGTGCCAAGACACATGTGCAAAGGGCAGAGGGCAACTTGAGTTCTCTCCTTCCACAGTGTGGGTTCCAGAACCAAATTCATATTGACAGATTTAGCAACAAGCACCCACACCCACTGATTTTCTAGATGTTTGTAAACATATATTCCATAAATGCCATCAACTATCAGAACTATTCATGGCACAACAAAGGTAAAAGATGCCCCATGTTTAGTGTCTGCTTATAATATCAGGTTATCACTTAGGTGTCTTTATGACTTAAAAAGGTGGCCTTCGTAGGCTACACCCCACTTTCCACCTACCACCAAGGCAATTACCTCCATTTGACAGACAGAGACTCTTTATGGTAAGCCGGCCAGATCGATTCTGCTTGTACCTGTAAAGGACAAGAAGAAACATACATGTAGCTGAGCAGCTGGCACCCATGCAGAGGGCTGCAGACAACCCCCAAAGTTTGAAGATCCCAAAACAACTTGACTTCCCATCATCTTAAGTTCCTGACATCTGTGCCAAGGGCAGAAGTCTGGTCTCACCTGTACAACAGCTCCTGAGCAACAATATCTCCATAGTCATGAGACAACAGGTTGATTCTGCGGTTTTGGAGTCCCAGGTGCCGAAGGAGGGATTCCACAATGCTGGCTTGCTCAAATATGGAATACTGATGTGGTCGCTAAGGAAAGAGACAGAGACATAGCATGACATCATCAGAGCCTGACCTGCATTCATACCCATCCCACCCATCACTGGGGCCCACCTCACTGCTTACCGGTTTGTCACTGAAGCCAAAGCCTAAGAAATCAAGGGCAATCACTCGATGAAACCTCAGGGTCAGACCTTCCCAGATCTGTAAGAAAGCAAGCATGATGTGCATTCTACTCCCACAGCCCAAGACCCATGCCTCTATGTCAGCTTGGATAATGTGAAAAATCCCATGAAACCATCACAGGCCTGGGTGATCCTCTGGGAAAGGGTATGATTCCTAACATTTAATATATTGAGAACAAAACTCCAGCCTTAACTTGGCAATGATTCTTTCTGGGCAGCCAATTTTTTACTCCCCTATAGTACATGAAAAGAAATTCAATATTTAATGGGATTTTATCAAGCAGTTCAGATCTGCAAGGGCTGACCAAAAAAAAAATCTAGAGTTTGAATATATTTTTAGGACATAGCAGGACCTAGAAATCAAACTTTATTACCTTGTACCAATCATAGCTGGATGTTGGAAAGCCATGTAAAAGCACAACTATCTCAGGGCTTCCAACCACACCAACGGAGTCTAAAAGGAGGAAAAAGAGAAATCAGGCAAAGTAGCCTTGAAGACAGCAAAATCTATTTCAGTAAAAAAGGATCAGACCAAATTAATGATATTAAAAATGTTGCTCTTTAAAATGCAAGCTTACTAGATAAGAGGAGCCTCCTCTTAATTTGTATTTTAAATTGTAAATGGCACACTTTACATGAGAATTTTTGAAACAATTTGCTCATTATCACTTAGATTTTTTAGAGATATTCCCTTGTAGTTATCAATATTAAAATGCAAATTATTTTTCATTTAGCAAAAAGTAAAACAAATAAAAAATAAAACCAATTAAAATGTTACAATCACAACAAACTAAGATTCTCTGCACTGTTTATCCAATGCTAGCAGATACACCCAACTCTAAAACAAAGGTATAGAATTCTGTTTCAAAAATGGGCTAATAATGACATAAACTTTTTTCTGTATGTGACATCTTTCAGATTATTCAAACAATAGAATCCTCGCCACAGTACTGGATTTAAATTAATACTGTCAGTGGCAGAAAATATTGGTAATAAGCTTTCAAAAATTGTTTAATTAGAAGCAGTTAAAAATATCATGTACTGTACTTAGGCTGACGAATCTACAAATACTATAAAACACTAAATATTAATTCTGGAAAAGAACCAACAAGCCAGTGTAAGGAAAATTTCATACTTACTTGACTGTGGATAACAAATGAGAGGAGGTCAGGAGCAATAATGAAAAACGGTTTACGAAAAACAAACATTTTTCGTTATTGCTCTTGACCCCCGCCCAAAAGAAATCTTTCCAATCTGTCTCTCAGTCTCTTCACCTATAAAATGAGATTAATGACACCTATCTCCAAGTGCTGTTATAAAAATTAAATGAAAAATGAAAATAATTAAGATTAAAAATATAACAGAATGCCGTGAGTGTGGTAATTAAGTAGCAGTCATAATAATTCCCAGTAAATCTCATCAGTTTTAGATACATATAACAAATCATGGAAAATAATAAAATGACAAACGGAAATGGGGGGGGGGGGTGTAGACAGGTCTCTAAATATCAAGTTACCTGACACTAGGGGCGCTCAAGAGAAAACTAACATCAAATACAAATGGAACTGGAAGAAACTTCCTGAATTAGGTACAATTCCATCCCCACCCCCACCTCTCCATTGCTGAGTGCCCTGTTCGCAGAAGACCGAAAGAGTTAGTCCGTTATACTCCACCTTACACAAACGGGGTTACTCCCCTTCCCACGAGCCCCCCCCACCCCGTCACTGTGGAGCAACAGAGACCAAGGGCTATAAAATAAGTACCTCAGCTGAGACCCACATGACCCAAGTTTGTGGGATTCTCCCACAGTCCAGTTCTCACCTTGGTAGAAGATGCGAAGTCCCTTGTAGGTGAAAAACTTGCCGGAAGTCTTCCATGAGTGCAGAGCCGGGGAGAGCTGAGGGGGCGGGATGTGCAGGTACGCAGCCAGCAGGGGCACAGCCAGTAGCCCCACTTGGACCCACCACTCCCTCATCCTGTGGGAAAAGCAGCCAAGGTAACATTGTACATTTCCAAAAATCAAAACAGAACATGGAGTGCAAAACTGGCACCACGTGACCATGGCAGGAAAGTTTACCAAGAAGACGTAAAAACGTCACTACCCTTTGCAGTGCTTACCACCATTCTTCCATATGTGATCTCCAAGCATATGTGTAATTTATTACATGTCATTAAGCAGAGAGCTGCTCCTAACTTTAATATACACCCTCTGGCCAGCGAAGCCCCATTTGGCACTACTATCTGGATTTGGGCTAAGAAACTGATGAGGGGGAGGGGAAGATACTGAAAGCAAGATGGCCGCAGCACTTTACATTCCAGTAAGCAGCTTTGCCCTGACCCTGAATATCTAATCTCTTAGAAATCTGGGCAGCAGATTCTATTTTTGCTTTCTTTGCAGACTCTTGAGGCGGTTCCCTTTTTAAAATTAAGACCCCCACTTACACACCTAGCACTCAGGACTTGGTTTTGTCTAGCACAAATTTGTGCCCCCAGCTTGCTATGCCCAAATTTCAAAAGTCCAGATTAATTTATCTCCCCTGGAGGCAAGGATTTAAAGCAAGAATAGAAACTATTTTACCAAGGAAAGGGTTCTCTAAGTGGGAAAATGCCACCTAAACTGAACTAGAGGTGTCAGGAGGTAGCTACAGGTAAAACAAATTAATTGCCAGAGTCCTGAGAAGCGTTGGCTTGCAAGCTCACTTTGTATATAAGAATGCCCTGTGGCACATTACCTGCAATCTCGTAAAATTGGCTTTTCTTTTTTTTTGGGGGGGGGGGATGTTAATTCCAGCACTAAACCTGACGTGGTAAAAAAAAAAAAAAATGACACACCTTGAGAATCCTCATTTCCCTGCCTAAACTTCAGACTGCGACTGGACTCTCGCTTTTTTTCTGCCCTCCGAAGTCTCTGTTCAATAAACAGTCACAATGTCTTGGTTCTACCTTTCAAGGCAATACTAGAAATGATTGGAACAGTGCCAGAACGTGATGGTTTTATGGTAGTCTGTGATCCACTAACTGATTTTACCGCCGAACCTCCTTGAAAGGGAAATAACAAAAGCGTTAGGTTTGGGGTTTTTTTTTTGTTATTGTTATTATTATTTTTGTTTGATTATTTTCCGCAGCCTCCATTCGGTCCTGTTACCTGTTCATACATTTTCACGTAACCTCTGGGGCATCCATGTGGGTCTCAGACTGAATCTGCAGTGACTCAGCAGAACACGGGGAGGGGCGCCTACGGCAGAGCGAACAGGGGCTTCCCGCTTGCGCTGGGAACAGAGGTGCCACACCCACGCTCTCCACACCGTACGTCGGCGCACCTCCTCCATTCAGGAAAGGGGGGGCAACCCCCCAGGGAGCTGTTCTTAGTCTTAGTTACCTTGGTTAAAAAAAAAATCCCCCCCAACGTTTTATGATTTTCAGTAGTCAAGCAAACTGGCAATCAGGCGAAAGGTTTAAACAAATTTTTTTAAGTCAAATCCCCGTTATTTAATGGCACCATGACTTAGATTAAAAATTCAACACACCCCCGTAACAAACTTTACGTGCCTTGATTTCTTATTTCTGTTAATGATGTAAAAATACATTGATCTAATACCACCAAACCAGCCCATCTAAAGACTTCTTAGCGAGAACTACACTGCGAACCCACAAATCGAAGCAAACATTTCTCATTACGTTTTAACAGTCTGGCCGCGTGCCCGGTCTCCCGAGGGTTCCCATTTCTGGCTTCGGAATAACACTTATTGCCGCGGTCACACAGCGCGGCAAGGTCCGGTCGCACCTATGCGGTAACTACGCCACTACGATTCCAGAAATCTTAAACCGCACCGTGGCAGTCTCGGCTTTTCGAATCCTCAACCACACACCAGGGTCTAGAAATCCCGAGTCACGCAACAACAATGACCAGCTCTACACCGGGGCGTTTCCAAGGTTCGCAAATCCTAAATTGCACCGCACCACCACCACCGCCGCCTAAATCACACCACAGCAAAGACCCTGACGGGGAAAAAACCTAATTTGCACCAGGGGTAATACGGAGATCCAAAAATTCCTAAATCTTACGCAGCTGACCCCCGGTTTGAAAATATACCACCAGCGAGGACGATCCCGAGTTCGGGCCGAGCGACCACCTTCCAGCCGGGGCAGCATGGCCACCTTTTGGTAAGGATTTTGCCACGGGCAGCTCCGGGGTGGCAGAGGTACCCACACGGAGTCGGGCCGGCCACACCCCCCTCGCGGCACGGCCGGCAGCACCCACCTGCGCAAGCGGTCTCGGCGCACCATGGCCGCATTATCCCATGCCGCTCGCCGCAGGATTGCGGAGCACGGGGCGCGCCGAGGCGCCCACAACCGTACAGGATCGGAGGTGGCGTCGGCGCAGCCCACGGTCCGCTCAGGGCGGTCCGCGGCAGCGGCAGCTGAGACAGCGAGCGGCCTCTCGGGCGAGCCTGCGGCACTGCGCCTGTTGGCGTGGCGCGGCTGCCGCAGAGAAGGGCTGCTGCGTCTACGAAGAAGCACCGGGATGCGCTGGTGGCCGCGGCAGAGCGGAGCGAGCGGGCACCGACTTTTAGAGCCTATCTAGCCCCGCCCCGCCCCGCCCACCATGCTGCAGTGTCCCTCCCTCCCGCTCCCGCCGCAGAGCCCTCCCCAATGCTGCAGAGAAGGGGGGCCTCTCTTGTGGGCGCCTTCCGGGCTATCGACCCCCTCTTTTCTCGCAGATCTCTAATCCTGAACCCCACATTCTGCTGCAGGAAAAAAAAACCTTTTCCATGTGATAATGCCTCAGGCAAAGATAGCAAATGTCTGAGACTCCCCGCCCCCCCCCCAACACACACACACCCTTCCCTTGGAGTACGCGCAGGTCCCCAGCCCGAGAAGGTAGCTGTTAGGCATAAATCACCTCAGGGCTAGGGTGCTCGTTGTGCCACCCACTTCTTTTCTACATCCTAAGTGGATGCTAAATCCTAGGAGTGATTACGCGTTCGAAAATGCGGTCCACCAGAGCGCGGCAACCCCAAGCCCCTAACCCACGATAACAATGAAGGAAGGGCACACTAAATGTCTAGGGAACCAACAAGTTCTGTGGTATCCTCCGCTGGGCTAAGTGGACACATTCATGGAAGGGCCGTGAGCACATAAAGCCGGCCAAAGTCACTGCAGACACCACGGTGGCACCAGTACACTTCCTTTGCAGCAAGCAACACGCTGTGGTCGACATGCCAGAAGCTGCTGCGGCATCCAGCTGAAGCCCAGCTGGGGACCGTTTATCAGGGTCCAAGCCTCCTTTATTTGTGCATAACACAGTCACAATGCGAACACCCTAGAAGTGCAGGAAAATCTAGAGACTTTTTAAAATATCTATAATCCTTTTAAAAGATATCTCTCGCACCTTCGCCAAGTGCCAAGCATTGTGGTGCCTGTGTGCCGTTTGGAGCCACAGTGAAATTCTAACAGCTCCGGCGCCAGCTAGGGACACAGCGCAGACTGGCCCAACGGGGGCGCTGCAGGCCTCTTTTCTGAGCCTGGTTTGCTGCAGCTCTGGCTTTGCGGTTTTCAAGCCCGGCCATGCAGGCAAGCAAGATTCGGCCAGAGGACCGCAATCGGTCAGCCGAACCCAAGGGCATCTAACCTGTGGGCATCTAACCACAATCCTAGAGTTCGGGGCCACGCAACAGACACTGAAAGTGCCAGCACCTCAGAGAGGGTCCTCAGAACACATAACGTGGTCGAGGGTATACTTCTGCGGGGATGGCATGAAATAAAAAATTGTAAGAACCTCCCCGGGGCGATGCACGGGGTTATGAGTGAGTGAAGGCACTTTATACATTTTATTTTTGCTTTCAGAACATTTACTAACAGGTCGGCCTCGTCTTTCCCATTGTAAGACCCTCAAAGTCTGAACCATGTTTTCATTCACCTTTTGTATCCAGGATCCCGCCATGGGGTGGGCCACAAAGCAGGCCCCTAACAAATACCGCATGGATAAGTTCAAGAATTTGAGGGCGCACAGGGGAGGAAGTAATTAAGGGGAGGGAGGAAGGGGTTGTCTTGAGTGATGAATAGACATTTACCGGAGACAAAGAACATTCCAGCCGGCGGGGACAGCTTTCGCAAAGCACTGGGGGCTCCATACCGCGTAACCTTTGGTTAAAAAAAAAAAAAAGTGTTTCCTTTGGGCGCCAGCACTGATTGGGGAGGAAGGGGGGACCAGAAAGTATAGTCCATCGGAAGGAATGTGGAATTTGTCCTAAATGAGAAGGGGCCGATGTATTTAAAGCCCTGTAAGACCGCAATTTAAATTAGTACCTTTACAAGTGAGGATTACCTGCCTACATTAACTAACCACCAAACCTTTTAAAGACCAAATTACTTAAAATTTGAACTAGTGCTTTCTATAGAGTAAAGGCTTTCTGATTTTAGCAACTGCCCGTGCGGAAAGCTTCTGCAGTATATGGGTTGGTTTTTTGTTTTTTTTTCATATTTGCTGTCAATGGAATCTTTGAGCCTTACAAACAATCCCACTTTGATTCTCACTAGGCCGAAGCACCAGCATCTGAGATGAAGGCAATTTTCTAATTAATGGACTGAATGCCCCACAAAAGATCTCATTCTGAAGACGGGGAACAAGAGGGTCGTGGGGATGGGCGCGTTTAAGCCCCCGAGGGGAGTAAAGTCAGTGAAAGCGCCAAACCACAAAAGCAATCCAGTCCAGGCCCAGGGGAATCCTTCCTGCTCAGGAGGACTAGGAATAACTCGGCTGGTAAAGGGCGGGATGCGGTTGAAATGGCGTGGACCGCAGAACTTGGTTAGACAGAGAAAGCTGCTAGCGGCTCCGACACAAAGGCAAGATGCCGAGGAACAACGCGACTACTGGGAACAGCTAAGGCTGGGGAGAGCTTTGCTTCCTAATGTTCAAAGGGTTAGGGAATCTTCCAACCAGGACTGACATTTCTAGAGGGAGCTTCCTCCTCAGCGGGGAGAATCTGACCTACGTTCTAAAAACCCTGGGGGCACCTGAGAAACAGAGAAACTTCATAAATGAAGACTGAGCTACCGAGTTTGCCGCTGGTGCCCCCCCCCCTTCTTCCAAACAGGCACTAACTATCCTTGGCGGACGTGACCAGCAGCAGAGTTCCCTCGGCCAGCAGCTTGTCAGACATTCCCTTCACATTCCTTTTCTAACATGGGTTCACCTCATAACAGCACCTCAAATTTGTGCGAAAATCAGCATAGAAACGTCTCCGTTTACGGTCTCACAACGGCAAGCAGTGAGAAACCAGCCCGGCTTCTTTCTACCGTAGGTTCAATCATCATTATTTTTCTAACCCCAGTTTAAGCGCTGTAATAATAGGACAAATGCAACAGCGCTTGTAGACTACAAGACAGAGCTGCTTTCTAAAGCCGGAGTTAACAAATTTGAATAAACTAAGAAAGTACAGAATGGGACAAACTGGTTTGAACAAAAACACTTGGTTAAAGAGACTTGGGGCTTTACTTGATTTTTAAAAAGGTTTCTTTGGGACAGTGAGATGGCTCTGATTTTTTTTTTCGGAGGGGGGGTAGGAAAAAAAGCTACTGTGTCTGGAGTTACGGCAATATACCCAGAATAGCCTGATCCTGTACTATTTTACTCATCAAACCCCACTGAGACTATTTTATTCTGCTTTACAGATAGATATTAAGAGACATTTAGGCACACACTAATGTATTCAGGGTAAAACTAAAACACTCTGAAAATCGTGAGACTCAAAACAGAGTGACTAGCCTAGCTGAAGTCCCTACTGTGAGCACATGTATCGCCCCGAGTACTCCCATGTTCTCAGGAACCGGCTAGGTGAGAGTTTCCATTCATCCCCGAGAAAGAGTCTGTGTCTCAGGGTACTGTGTGCAACCACCAAGGCGCTGGGGGCTGAACATAGATGGTCTGGCTCCAGAGCTGGCGTTCCTTCCACTGGCCCACACTGCCTCGCTGTTTGAAATAACTGGGCATGTTTAGTCTAACCAAAAGGAGCCTTGTGGAATGAGTGGAAGGAGGAAATGTGTTCACAGCCTTCAAATATTTGTGGAAGCGGTGTTAGACATTTTATTCCATACGACTCCAGTGAGAGCCAACGGCACAGAGACAAAAATCCACTCAGCATAAAGAATTTTTCAGCAGTCCAGCCCTGCTAGAAGGGTTGAGTGGCTCGTGACAGGCTCCCTGTCACTCGGGGCTGGGCAAGCTGGCCGCAGGTATGTAAGGTCCTGGTCTTCTGCTCAATGAATGGCCTTTGAGGGCTCTGACATTCAGTGGCACTGAGAGCACAGTGATCCCTCTGCCCAGGGAACAATCTACCGCTCAGTCTTCCCAAGCCTCGCTCCTGAGCCCCAGATTCGCTTAGGGACGTATTGGGTACACTGGGGGTTGGGCAGGAGGGACGTTGCTGCGACTTTATTGATAATTTCTTCGGTTTGTGTTGCTTCCAGTGCCCCCCCTCCCCAGCCAAATGTATCTAATATATTTCTAAGTGGTGCCTTCCTCCCTTTTCAGACTCTTTGAGGATTAAAAAAAAAAATGCAGCAAAGAGCCCCCAAAATGAATGGTAGTTGAGGGAATAATATCGAAGCCGAATAATCAAATGAGAAGAACCTAACGGACAGACAGCATCCGTTTCCTTCCGCTGCAGTATTACAGAACACCCCGAAACAATCCTACTCACCCGGTTCTCCACGCCTCGCCTCCCGACAACCCAAACCTGGAGCTACCGAAGCCCACTAGTCCACCGGTAGAGGCCATCTTTAGCACTCAGACATCACTAGGCTTGAGGGATTCTAATTAGCTAATAGTATCTTGCATTTTCACAGCCTTTACCCTGCTCACACACATTATCTCATTTGCTGCTCGCCACAGGCTCTCTAAGGAACAGCTGCTTTCAAGCAAGCAGGCGTTCTTTTCCCAGCTGCCTGGAAAAGAAGGCTGCCATATTCGACACTGTTGCTCCCTCTGGGCCCCTGCTTCCTTTTTTTTTTTTTTTTTTAATTTTTTTCTCTAGCTTTCAGGGTTTTCTTCCAGCTCGGAGGAGCAGACCCTGGGGCAGGTGTTTTGGGTTGTCTTCTTGCTCTCAACTTTACACCTTCCTCAGTTGTCCCCACTCCTACCCCCCCCCCGCCCCTCAGGGGTCCCGTGGGACACACCAGCACTTCTGTCTCAGGGGCCCTTTGTCCCCAGCAACCTGCACTCCCGTCTCCCTGGCTGCCCAGGCTTCGCCCTCCACCCCGCAGCTATTCCCGCGTGTCTTCACTACCCTGGGCACCCACCCTCACCCGATCTGTACTGCACTGCAGTCCGGCTTCTCCAGCTTAACAGGAGAGGTGCAAGAGGGAGCAGGCCTCAGCCGAGGAGGGCTGGATTTGTGTTCCCTTCACTAGAGGGGCAGCCACAGGACAGGGATGGGCGTCACTGTGAGGGTTCCCACAGCCCCACGCCATTGTCACTCCCGTGGTCCCATGACTGGTGAGGTCCACCTTCCCCGAGAGGGACCAGT